CCAAGAACCCATTCGGAGCGAAAATTTGTATGAATATTAGTTTTCAGCTGCTCTTATACATCATTTAAGTAAAATCTCAGGAAGATCAATAGATTTGTTGTTCGAATTTTAGTGACGTCATGTGAAAACCAGCTATATACACAAGCTGTCGCATACACCACGTAATTTGAGTTTGGGAAGCCTGTGATGGCGCTCGCCCACTCACTCACTCCATTCTAATTTTTAAACCTGGTTAAACATTTTCTCCTACGTCCCCTGCTAAGTATTGTTTTTGTCCAAGAGTGCTCAGTCGGCTTCAGAAAGGTTCTTTGACGAAGGGGGACTAGAAAGGCGTACATTTTTGCCCGATAAATCGAGAGCCTGGGTACGAGTTTGTCGAACACCTCGAAAATTGAAGTCGGACATTTTGGTTTCATATGATTTTCTTTCGTAAATATGTTGTTTTTTGCCTATCGGCTTTTGCTCCGCGTAGATGAAAGCTGTTAGAGGTATTTATAACCGTGGTCGTGCATCGTTCACAACGACATGGTCGGCGAGGTCAAAGAATTGATACAAGACACCCATGATGACAAAGCCAGAAAGTGACATCGTGATTAGCATATGGGGGAAGTTAAGCTCTTAGCTTTTTTTCTTGGCAAGAGAATTTGATGGTTTCCACTCGCTTTCTCTCGTTGTGGCGTCCAAGGTAAGCTTAAATTCTTGTTAGGGTTTGGTTTCGTTGTTTCTTTATTGTTTTATTTTGTATGCATCCATTGAAATTCTGCCTGTGTTAGCATCGCAAGCTCGAAATTTGTAAGCTTGTTTTTAAATACTTAAGGGAAAAAATTTCGAATTGCCTTATCTTTTAGTTTTGTTGTCGTTCCACAACATTTCTTTTGAATTCCATGCAATTCGACCAGAGTGAAAATTTCTTCACGGACGATATGCAAGTCAACCTACATGTACGATTGAGTAAATATACACGGCAATATTTTAGTGATGGATGAACAAATTAAAGGCGCTACGTCACGACCCGCGCATGTGCGACATTTGGCTCCGTTCTCATTGAGATTCAAATGCATCTACCATCTTGAATTTTGCGCAAATTTAACCCGTCTTGGTTAAAATTATTACATCTGTTTGTCGTGTGTGTGGATTTCTTCTCGTTGATCTACTTATTCTACCGCAGAGGCAAAATTATGGATGCAGAAGAGGCAAGAAAGGCTACGGTGGTGAGTTTCCTTCGACTCCATTACGTGACAGATTTGAATGTCTGAACTGTTTCGTAGTTTCTGGGAATATGCTCTAACACAACGTTCATTTTCTCTTTCGTCTGCTGTTATCCTCTTAGGAAAATCGCATCTCGTGTTCGTGCAAAAGCGCTTGTTGCACGAAACAGAAAACAAATGCAAATCGTGGCTGCCCTTGCAAGATGTGAAAGTGAGTGTACGTGTGGTGCGACAGCAAATCCGTGCCGAAAACACGGTGAGATTCTTTATTTATACACTTAGCTTTGATGTAACATTGTTTGTAAGTAGGTATTGAAGGCTGCACGCGAATGGAACAACTAGATTTCTGGCTATTTTTGGTTTTGTTTGTGTTCAAGTCTTCATATGTAAGTATATATTCATGTGTACAGCATGTCTCTTTCATTTAGGCCAAACATTTCACTTAGCATAGAGCAGTTTCGAGTTTTAGCAGTTTGAATGGATGAGTTGCCAGTAATCGGATACCCGTGTTTGCGCAAAGAACTCTGGGATCGTCAGGGGGCAAACATTGCAAGTCGCTAGAAGGAAATGTATGGCGAAAAGTTGTTTCGACGCCCAAAAACATGGTTTTGGGGAGAGATCAATGCTTTTTCGCCGTTGTTTTATCGCAAATGGATTTGGGCAATGTTGATACATGGAAAATGTAAGTTTTTGTTCGAATAACCATGAAATAAGTGATAAAATTTACCGATAAACTCCCTCGCTTGCGTGAGGTTTTGTGGTAAGCTTACATTGAAGAGAATATTGAAAATTTCAATACGCACCTGATCTCGAGAGGCTACCTGGAGTAAATGGTAGGAAAGACCCTCCGAGAATTTAAATATAAAGACAGAAAAGAAGCTATAAGACAGAAATCAAGAATTGCACAAGGAACTACTACCCTTTGTGTCAGGCCATTTCACTCAACCGTCATTACCACAGTTTGAAAAGCATAATCACGGACAAATGGCACTTTTAAATACAAATACTCAGAGATATATTCAGGGAGCCACCCTTGATCTGTTATAGAAAAGGAAAATCACTGAAAGACGTGCTTGTGAAAGCAAAACAAAGGCTTTGAGCAACACAATGGCCATACAGCATGAGACGCGCGGTCTGTCTACTCACTTTAATCCGGCAACCCCACACAGCACAATGATCGCCACCGGGATTGTTTCCAATATTGCTTGTATGACTGTGCTTACAAATAAGCCAAAGTAGCCTGTTAGTGTACACAACTTAAAAGACTTTACTGGGTTATTTCCTCTCGATTTAAACCTAATTTTGTAATATTTTCAGACCATTACGCGATGTAAATTTCACAATAAACCTCACGCAAGCAACGGAATTTAACGGTAGATTTCGTCACATATTTTACGGTTATTCAAACAAAAACTTACTTATTCCACGTATCAACATTGCCCAAATCCATTGGCGATAAAAACGACGGCGAAAAAGCGTTGATCTCTCTCAAAAATCGTTTTCTTGTACCTCGAAACAACTTTTCGTTATACATTTCCCTCAAGCGACTTGTACTGTTTGCCCCCTGACGATCCCAGAGTTCTTTGCGCAAACACGGGTATCCGATTACTGGCAACTCATTCATTGTCTTTCCTTTGAGCTGAGAAAGTTTCTAAGAGAGCTTGATTTTTTATATATATAGTACAACAGCTTTGACATGACTCTTTTTTTTTTCCTTATCAAGGCTGGTGCAAGTACAACTTCATTTGTGGCTGAAGAACACAGCCATACCAGAGTGACAACAGGCCAAGTGAAGAGCAGGACAGGATAAAATAAAATAGAGATGTGAGGGTCTGCCTGTATAGAAATATATTTTTATTTATTTCTTTATTGGTATTTATTCCAAGAACAAAACTATGCCTAAATACCGAAAAGACCACAAAAATCAAAGCTCGAACACCAATTCAAATGCATAAAGTTTAGCAAGGCAAGATTTGTTTTGTTCCTACACTTGATTTTTATATTTCTAGGCCCACTTGGCAAAACTCTGTGCTTGCTAGCAAGCTGTCAAACTTCTTTGACACAGTTGTTGGCTCTACGTAAAATAAATCAATTACTTAATTTTGTCAGCGCAAAATATTTTGCAATACTGTACTTTATTGGTGATTACCTCCATAATGTTCTTCTAGGAAGTCATTCAAATGCTTGATGAAGCAATGTGTGCAAGCCGTGTGCCAGAAGCCTGCCTAGAAAAATTGACAATTAAGATAAGACTGTCTGTGAAAGCGACATTTCTCAAGCCACCCGTGGCACTTCCACAGAAGGACAGATGTCAAGTGTGGATAGAATGCCTAACCCTACACCTCCATCTTGCAACTCGGCAATACTATGGTGCAAGTGTGGCATGTACCAAGTTATGCCTCAAGAAATAGACTGCGATGATAATAGTACGCATGTCTTCATGAAGGCAGCCTATTGGCAAAATGTTTTCCATAGATTTTTATTTATTTATTTATTCATTTATTCATTTATTCATTTATTCATGAAGAAAACACTCACAGTACAATAAAACATAAAGTAAAGTAAATTCCATGCAAAAAGAAAACTACGGCGCTTTGAGGACTACAATAGATATAGAAATAAATTAATGCTAAGCGCTACTGATTAGAAATTTGAAAACAACATTGACACAAAGTAAGTAAAATAATGTGTCCTATTGAGAGGTTGGTGGTGGCAAAAGTTCTGGCGCAAAATCTTCTAATATAAAGCATTTCCATTTCTCATTAAAGAGCTCAGTAGTTTTGTTTTTTATTGCGATGTACCTTTCAGTTATTATGTTTTCTCGAAGTTGTATCTTAAACAGTGAGAAGAGTAAACATTGTTCATTTATCATCAGCTATTATGTTGGCTCTTTTAAGTTTGTCTTTACTGTAGATGATATTGTGGTTTATCTTGAATTGAAACGTTATTAACTTTGTATTTTCCGTAATATAAAAAGGCCATTTATATAATTTTTGGATTTCAGAAGGCTTCATTCCGTAACTAATAATTCGGTTTTCATTGGTAGGTGGTTGAAATTTGTTCTCAACAATTATTTTGTGCAGAGCAGCGTTGGAAAGATTTTCTTCATTGTCGTACCAGTTCTGTTTCAGTGTTTGCCTCTGTCTACCAGTAGTCGAAATTTTCCATTCATTTTTAATTGCACTGAGAAGGCCATAGTATACAGTGAAACTAGATTTAACTTTGAAAAGGTTAACAAACTCTTGACACGTTAGGAACTTTCCGCTGTTAGGGTTTAAGAGGTGTTTAACTTTTGTAACACCCGCCTTGTGTCATGATTCATAAAATGTTGGCTTAGTTGCGATTTTATTTCATGGTTGTTCCATATTATGGCATCGTATGGATCTGTTTTTTTCTTGATCTATTTCAGCTTTGATTTTTTTTATCATTTCCCAACAATTTAGAATTTCTGAATAGAAACAAGGAATGCTGTTTAAATAGACCAATTTCAATATGTTAAAATTCAGCCTAAAACACTTGACCTCAGCACGAGGCTCCGGGGAATAACTACAGAGTTTGTGGGGTCTATTCCCCTGAGCCTCGTGCTGAGGTCTATTGTTTTAGGCTGAATTTTAATATATCGAAATTGGTCTATTGAGTTCTTTGGTTTTATAACTGCATGATAGTAAGAACTTAAAACTGCCTAGGTGTCGAGTCATGTAATTTGGGATGATTTTCCACGGCGCATCCACCCCTGTATTAAATCTTCTCACCCATGAAGCTTTCAAGGCTGTATTCATCGACTCAAACTCACTCATTTTTAATCCACCCACATTCCTGTCTCCAATTAATGTATTTGTTTTAATTTTATGTGGTTTGGTATCCCATATAAAATCCAATATGGTTTCATCAACCCTTTTGCTGAAATTTTCAGGTAATGATAAAACTGAAGCACTGTATGTTACTTTAGATAACCCAAGTGACTTGACAATGTTGATTTTCCCAAGCAGAATCAGTTTCCTCCTTTTCCAGGAGTTAAGGATTTTTTTCAAATCTTCTAGTTGCTTATCAAAATTAAGACTTTTACATTTGCTTCTATCGTTGGAGAAGTGGATACCTAAAGCATAAACAGAATTTTCTGGCCAGCGAAACTCAAATGGTGTGTCTTTCCTTGTTGCCCAGGGCCCACATGGCCTCTGATTTTGATTTATTCAGTTCTCCATACATACGGTTATCTGGGGAACGGAAACCAGAAGGTGAACTCTTCCTGTGTAGTAACAGTGATCCAGTGGCAATATCCCTCACACTGGAGTTTATATGGGATTCAGGGCTGATTAAACCAAAACAAATGCAAGTAACTGACAAGTTCTTCTCCCCTGAAGAAAAGCCCACAAAGAAAGCGTTTATAATAATAGTGGAAGAGGCATTGGTTTTGTTAATTTAAATCACCTCCACACTTAGTTTTCATCTTTATCATTGCACATTCAGGATGGGTGTTGGTTCATTATGCCGAAATGTCGTATATGCGCGCCAAGATGGCTGCCGGTGTCGTTCACGTTCTCTTGATTTATTTTATATTTCTAGCCTATTCTGATGATTTTTCGCCCTATGGATGGACTCACTCTGGTTTTAACCACTTCTGCTTCGAAGATAT